GTTGCAAAACTAACCACTATGTACTTTTTTATATTGTATGAACAAAAAAAAAAAATGGCATTTTTTATATTAAATTGTTTAGCTCTGGCAAAAAACAAAACAAAACAATTTAGTTGACAAGCTGGTACTAATAAAGGAATACTATGATTGTTAAATTGTAATTCATTTGAGTTTATTCACAGTATTTTCAATGACATTACATTTAATACATTCAGAGTGCTTTCTTTGAAAATATGCACTTTGGGGTTTTTTTTTTAATCCTCACCTGAGGATATTTTTCTATTTATATTCAGATAGAGTGGGAGGGAAAGAAACATCGACATGAAAGGGACACAACTGGTTGCCTCCCACACAACCCTGACCAAGGCCGCGGACTGTACCCTTGACCAGAATCGAACATGTGACTCATTGGTCCATGGGCTGATGCTCTACCTCTGAGGCAAACCGACCAAGGCAAAAATACGCATTTTGTATTTAAACACTTTTGGTGCCTGATATAGAGAACTATCAAGAAGATATTTTATTACGTCAACAACGTACATCTCAACCAAGGAGTGTTTTACCTTGACATGAAAACTATGTGCTAGGTACTGTTTAAGACAGATGACAAACTGGAAACCCGTCCTGGAATTAGTGGGGAAAGCAAACGCACTCCACTCTGCCAGAAAGGATTGGGAAGACCAGTGAAAAGGCACTGCAATTTAAAATGAGGTGGTAAATAGAAAAGGCCTTATTGAGATGGCAATTCTGTTCAAGATTATTTCAGACGGGACCCAAGCCCAAAGGCTCTGAAGCCTGTCTGAGAAAAACAAGTACTGGATGGCTGAACATGGAGGGGAAGGAAGGCGTGAGCGAGTCAAGGAGTGAACGTGGCAGAGCCCTGTTAAACCTTCATAAGGTCTTTAGCTCTTACCTAGCAAAGTGGGGAGCTTTAGGAGGTGGAGGTGTCAAGAGTAACATCCGATTTTTAAGTCTCCCTTGCCTTGTGTGTTGAGAATGTTCTAGTGGGTAAAGGCGGGAGCAGGGAGACCAGTAGTCACATGGAATATGGTGTCTTGCTCTAGGGTGATGAGAATGCATTGGATTTTGTTCCACAGACGAAACTAAGTGGATTTTCTGACAGAATGGATGTGGGGTGTAGGTGGAGTCAAGGACTTGAACATCTTTAATAACTGTTGCTCAGATAGGCTAGAGGAAGATACAGGTAGAAAAATCAGTTCACTTAAAATCAGTTTCATTTCACATACTGAGATTAAACATGCAAAAAAAAATCAAGGCCCCTCAAAACAGAAAATCCTTCTGCTGCCCAATAAACCATCCACAGCATTGATTCACTATTTCCTCACCTAGTCAACTGTTTGCTGTTTGTTTTTAATCCTCACCCGAGGACATTATTCCATTTTTTGTTCAGATAGAGTGCAAGGGAGGGAGGGAAACATCGACGTGAAAGGGACACACCGAGTGGCTGCCACCCGCACGACCAACCAGGGCCGGGGACAAACTGCAACTGAGGTACACGCCCTTAGTGAAAACTGAACCCGGGTCTCTCTGGACCGCAGGCCCTCTAACCACTGAACCAAACCGGCCAGGGCTGTTTGGTTTGGTTTTGAAGTGGGGAAATGTAGATTTATTTAAGGTTGAAGCATGTTTAGGATAAACTATGTGCAAATTATTCCCAGCCCTATCAATCCATGTCTAGCAATACAGTGCAGAGGTCCACAGGCTCTCATCAGATCGCCGGGCTTGATGCTGCCATTCTAGAATGACCTCCCGTAACTCAATCAGGCTTGTTTCCTCTTCTGTAAAGTGAGGGTGATACCCAGTTACTCCACAAAAAGTGCTGTATCTACACACTCTATAAATGGGCATTTTTCCTTCTTTAGCCTTGTATTAGGATGCCTTTTGGTTGTGAAAGGAAACTCAAGTCAAATTAGCTTAAGAGTTGACTTTGATGACTGAGCAGCTCAGGCTGAACATGACTTAAAGGTAATGGATCTAGGCATTCAAATGTGAAATTCTGCGAATTTCCTCCTGGGGGGATGGGGAGGAGGATGTCCATGGGGGGAAAAAAAAGGAGAAACATCTCTAACAAAAATAGAATTTCCTCTTGTAATGAGATCACTGGAGATAGGACTTGACAAATCTCAGAAGACAGAAATCTCAAATCCTGAATCAAGCACCCTACTGTAAACAAAAGTAGGCTGGGGAGACTGGCTGTGATGGCCGTTACCTGCAGCTCCGTCTGGAGCACCTGGAATTGGCTGGCACCTACAAGGGAAAGCACTTCTAGGCAGACTGGAATAGACTTCACGAACAAGCCAAACCGCAGATGCCTCTGCTCATACACCCTTTGAATTAACCCAATTACAAAATACTTTGTCGAGTTCCTGCAACCTAAAAATCACTACTTTGAACTGCTATACATACTGGGTATGTATTAGAAACTATATCCTTTACATCCAGGCACACCTTAGTTTATTGTTTCGCTTTATTGCACTTCAGATATTTTACAAACTGAAGGCAAGACCCTCCACCACCAGGTTACAGCTCACTTGACTGTGGTTCTCTGGTGCCGATCCACCACCCCTCTGAGGTCTGGCCGTGTAAAACTTAACCTAATTTACCTGAGAAAAAAATAAAATAAAACCAAGTTTTCATCTCTTGAGCAGGATTTGAAATAGTAGAGCTTTGTGTTCTGATGAAATTTGGCTGGTTAAGCCTTTGAGAAACATTTGTTTTTCCACTCATCCATGCATTCACTGGTTGATTCTTGTATGTCCCCTGGGCAGAGACTGAACCCAACACCTTAACATTATCAGGACGATGCTCTAACCAACTGAGCTAACCGGCCAAAGTTGAACTGTTTCTAATTTAAAAATATGTACCTATGCCTTTCACATTAAAGTGTATCAGCATTTTATTAGAAACCTTAATTGCTAACACGGCAGCTGGTAGATATATAAAAATCTTTTCTTGCTGAGATTTCTCAAGCCCATGCTTTTAAGGGACAGGATGGCTGTTCAAAGGTTAAGTCCTTACAGTATTTTGCATACCCAAACTTTTGCTTTTAAGCCTCCAACATATACAATTCTCATTCCTATTTTAAGGATACTTATCAGCTCAGTTTCAGCTTTGAGTTGCTTTTTAATACTTTGAAAACTAGAAAATTTTAAAGACCATAAAAACAGTAAATCATTTGTGGAGAGAGACACTGGCATAATTGTCACCCATTAAAACTTACATTTGCTTCAGGATATTCACAAGACAGTACTCATGATTACCAAAAATACTATTTTTAGATATCATTTTAGCTATTTAACCATCAGACTCAATTAAGGTATCTCCATTTTACAAAAAAAAAAAAAAAGTAAAAACGAGTGTTTAATTTGGACAGAATTTAGGGCAGAGAATTTTGATTGGGAGAAAGTTACTTTATTTTCAGTAACATTAGTAAAATTTAACATTCCTTCATTATAGGCAGCAAACCACAAATGGCATACACAGTACTTGCCACTATTATTAAAAATCACAACTTTAACATCAGATTACCGTTGCCAAGTATCTTAAAATACCATCTATGTATCACTTCAAAGATAGACTTCAGGCCTGCCACTAACCTCCTCTAATGTTTAAGGCACATTTACTAAATTTTTATTATTTTCAATGTTTAGCTCTACATATTTAATACATATGAAATTAACATTCTAAGGGGTCAGCTGGCATTAACTGCCAACAGATAGCATGGCATAAAAGTTTGAGCCCCTAATAACTTGCCCATGCTCACAAATGTGCTTTAAACTTTTTTGATAGCCAAATAACCTAAATGCATTTCTCCCAGTCCCTGCTAAAGATGTAATAAATAACAAATTAAGTCCCAACAGAAAATTTACCAGAGTTCCTTCTACGTAAGTATAGACTTCAAAGGATGCTTACTGAACATTTGATAAAACGCATGGACTAATACAATGTATTTTTTTAAATTACAATGTAACCTTCACACATAATTAACATTTATAGGATTCTTTCCTCGGATTATAAGCCTTTTAACTATTACTTGGAATAGCTCTGGTTAAATTTAACCATTTCACCTATACTTTCAAAGATCATTTATCTTTTAGAGCAGTCAACACCCTTGTTATCACTTATCCATATTTACCAAGTTTAGAAGCTGAATATGGGTAAATCCCTAGTTCCTAGCTGTTGTTCAGCAGTGTGCCCATTTAACTATCACATGAAGGCAGTTCCCCATACACTTTTGCATATTTGAAAACGTGATGAGCAAGTAATGTATTTTGCCAATTACCTTACTCTCACCTAAATCAACCTAGTAACAGAATCCCAATTTTGCAAAAGTTAACACTAGTCTTCAAAAATGTAATTGGTCTGTGATGAGTACAGTACATGCACGATTCCAATTTATTTTGTTGCCCAAATATTTTAGTTTCAATTAACAACGCATTTTCATTCTGAGAAAGCATATATACCTATTTTGGTGGAAATGAAATCCTGGGTTGTTTTGGGATTCAAATATTAACCTGAAATTAGAAGGTACTTACAGCTGTAGAATATAAAACCACTGCATATACTATGAAACCAGTGTTGAATATAAACAAAATGTGTTACAATCCTGTTAACAGCTAGAAGTCCCCACATGGCTTCAATTACTTCATTTCACTCACCATGTTAATAGCTATTAATGTTAAGAATCCACATACTTTATTTTTATGTCACATTTATCAAAATCCTAATTCACAAATTTTTCAAACTTTTTAACAGGTGACTCTGTTTAGTTTAAATCACAGCACTGTAGTTTATTTCATAAAAACATTTGCCCAACCCACCCTCACAACACAAAATGTTCAACCAATTAATCCACTGACTTTAAGACACTTCATACTTCCAAAGTCTGGAAGTAATTCCCTTTGAATTGTTTTTCACTTGCTGGATCATCCTTACCCCCCCCCACCCACCCCCCCAATTAAAGTCACTGACTCCTCACCTATCACCTCAGTACTTCACATATTGCCTTTCAAAGCTTAAATCCTTCCTGTTATTACTCACTGTAAAGTATGTCATTCACCTATATAGCATTTAAGTCACACGGAACACTGTGAAGTGACAAAACCACACACGCATTTCTAAAAATATTTTAATGAAAAAGGTATCTTTCTGTAAACATTTCATTATCCTACAAATGAAACATCTGAATCCATTACAGACCACCTCTTAAGTCTTAAAAATCAGAAAACATTGAAATTTAAAATTTTGAATACTCATATAGGCTTACATTACCCCTGCACATTAGCATGCTTACTCCCTACTTTGTGACATTACTGGAACTCCAAGGGATACTGTCATTAACTAGAAATGTTTCAAATTGTGGTTTCTATATTGAACTCTTAAAACCAAGCTTATTACATTTGTTTAGTTCCTTAACAAATGATCTTTATTACCAAATTATCTTCTTTAGGACATGTGTGAATGTTGTTTTAACATAGTGTGGAAAGCAGTAACCTTTGAGTTGCTTTGACAAGCTTGCCTTGATCATTTCCCTTATGAACTTTCGCATTTTATTGGTGCTATGAGTTAAGTGTATTTTTCAGTAATGACAGTATAACTACATTTAAGTTAAATCACTTTATTTCATAAAGAAATGAGATGGACTAAAAAGAACAATGCCTTTAAAGAGAAGAAAATGTTTCCTATCTTAGGAAAATTTCTTTTTCTAAAACCACGCTGTAAAGAAAATTCATCAATAAAAGAATTACCTCGTTCAACACTTCATTCTACAGTGATGTGTAGAAATGTAGTCCTGGTTTAGATAAAGTCAACCAGTCATTCTGTGAGAATAAACTGGCCAACTTACTCCTTTTTATGTAAGAATTTATTTATAATTTAGAAACTAGTTTCATTTTAAGCATCTATCCCCCTAGTTTTTTTGGTTGTTTAAGTGAATTAACGGCAAGTCTCAATTTTTAACAAGCCCTCTTGGGCCAGCAGAAATAGCCCTTATGAAATCAGCAACTGATTTGCACAGTAATTATAGTTTAATTAGTCTTTGGGAAGTTGTCTTTTAAAAGGGAGCATTAGCATAATTAGGCTCCTACTGCTTCCGGTTAACAGGTAAAGAACACACAAAAAAACTAAAAAAGGGAACCAAATATTTATCCCATTAATCCAAATAATTCCCTGATTTTATATGCATGAGACCTAATGAGGCCACTTCAACGAAGACCATTTTTATATTTGTATCATCTGGCAATTTAAAAAGTTGATTCCAAGGTTTTTCCTAGAATGAGGATTGGCAACTTAATGCTTCTGTTACAACTAAATCATGCTTCATCACAAAATTCTTTGCAAAATTTAAGGTCACTCCTTTTCTTTCCCATCAAAAACTACCTTTACTCTAAAGACACCAACAATGAATTGTGTACATGGGGCCACATGTCAGTCAACATGAACACTCATGATTATTGCAGGGAAGCTTTTTAAACTGGTTTAAATGTTTTGGATGTGGTTCCAAAATAGTTTCAGCTGAACAATTTTGCTTATGTACCTAATAGTTTTAAATGTATAAATTTATGGGGAAACAAATGGTGTCATCAGGTTTTACTGTGAGCTACAAACCTTACCCAGCCAGAAACCTTCGTATTTAAGATGGTAGGAAAGACATTCCTCATTTAGGCAAGTAGGGTTCTCATTCAACCTGCAAATCAAAAAGATTACTCTTACCTTGCTTTACAAAAAATTACTCTTTAATTAGTGAAAAAATTCAAATTCAAGCCTTACCTAATGCTTATTGCCCTTCCTTGCAGGTCTAAATGCTAGACCTAGCGACTGTGGCAACTATCTCTCATTGATGTTCCAAAAGGCGAAGAGCTCCTTCCTGCTAGACTTTCTTCGATATTTCAGTTGTAATAAGCAGATTTAACTAGCTTTGAAATGTTGCTCACTATCACCATAGTATCTTATGCCTTCACTTCTCTGTAGTTGAAGCTCTTGCTGCTGCCTTGTCATTCTTTATTTATGCTGACTTGTCCATACTCAAAAGGCTGCTGAAGTCCTGTCTTAGTGAGTCTCCTTTGATCCACAGTGCTTAAAAAGCACATCTTAGGTCCTTTAAAGCTGGTTAAATCGCTCTCCTCATGGCTTACTTTTCCACACTGTTCACAAGAACTAAGCTAAATACAACTTATAAACAGGTCACATACACAGGTTTCACCTGCTTATAGGTTGCAAACATCAACTTACTGAAAATATTTTCACTATTAAACTGGTTCCAGAACATAGAAAGTTTGTTAACAGTACAATTAACTTCATATACCATTAAAGGATACTGTCAAGGTTGTGTCCAACAATTCCACAAACATAGAAACAGGAAATGTTAATCTCCCCCATTCCTTCAACCTTTATTATATGAATAAAAGAACTTGAGACAATTTAGCTCAATTTTAATAAAATGTTTCCCAAGCATTATTTTGACCAGGTACCCAGGTTTAAGTTATAAACATTGACAGTGTCCATTTATATAACCACACTTGAAATTATTAAAAACTTAACCATTTTCTAATATTTGCCTATTTTCTATGCTGCTTATTCACATACGTCCATTAACAAATGGCATGTTGTCTGTTACATTTATTGGTTTGTGAGTGTTTTCTGGAAAACTGCAGTATCTGTGAAGACCGATTTCCATGCTGGCATTGCATGCATCCAAATATTAATGCACAGTGGCACAGAATTAGAGCAACAAGAGAGCATACGCAAACACTAGTACGCCCCACTCCCCTTTTTATTGCTTGTTTTGCTTAGTACTTCTTAAAACAAAAATAAGAACCTTGAATTCAATGTTCAACTGCCAAAGAAATAATAACAGCAGGGCACATTCTTAGGGCTTGAATGAAATTGTAAGCACTAGGCTGGCGCGAAACAGTAGACATTGGTTTATATATATATATATAAAACCTTATTATCTAAAAATCTTCTCACCCAGGATCTTCCAAACAAATTAGCTCACACCAACATGATTCAGGTTCAAGCATACACATAGAGTAACAGTGTGTTCTTTGGGATTTTGAATAAGAACTCAGACGATCTAAATTTGAATTCAAGTACTTGGGAAGTGGGAAGCTTGTACTAAGCAACTGTGGTACACTTCTACTGAATTGTCATTTGGGTCAATTATATCTAGACTGCCCTTGGTTTCATCCAGTAAAATGTAAGGGTAGAAACAGGAAAGCATGCCAGCCAGTTAAGGGTTCAACAATGCATGATTTTTATTCTCTTGCTTTGAGAGCTTATATAAAAAAAATATGTATGTTAAACCAAGGAAAATAACAAAAGATTTGTGGGCCTCTTGTGCTTTAAAAAAAAGGAAGAGAGGGGGGAGGCAGCCACCAATTTGCTCAGATACAGCAGGCTTAGTGGTCCTATATTTTGATACGTTTTTTAGAATGGTTTTTTGGTTGAGGAAAGGAAAACCATCCACTACTCTTTTCCAGAATTTAAACAGAGGGCAGTAGACATTCTTTACACCCAAATAAAACTATGGCAGCAGTTCACATGTGACCAAGGTGAATGTAGAATGGAGATGTTCTAAACACAGCTAGGACTCTCAGCAAAGCTAACACACTAAAATCATGATTACATTTTGAAAGAAGATGCACAAAAACCAAATAGGAATTTTGAGATTTTTTTCATTTGAAGGTAACTCTTGTCATTAAAGTCACAAATATGCTAATTTAAATACCCAATTCTATTTTATCTAAAACACACATTGCAAACATACAAATATCTATTCTCTCCACATGTCAGAGCCCATTCATTTCATGGTTTGGAAATGGGGAGAATAGATTCCCCTTAAATTGCAAGTCAGCAGGTGTTTCTTTACAGTTAACTTTAGCAAAATTCATACAAAATAGTGATTAACAATGATCTTCTTTACTTGTTAACTCACAAGGAAACACCTTCAAAACTGCATTTTGTTAAAGTTTCTGTACTAAAATGTAGAAAAACTGAACTACACAAATATTGAAAAGTTAAAAATTCCTTAATTTTTTATTCCTGGTACCACTACCACAATTTACAGGGCAATATACCTGATGTAATGAAAAGAAAAAGAAAAAGACAAAGCTACAACAGATAAAAGACCTCAGGAATGTACATCTAATTGACACTACATTGCATTAATCAATAGCTGCACTTTTTGCAAACTGTGGCTATGACAGTCCTGAACAAGAAGGGTTTCCTGTTTAAGCTGCAGTAACTTTTCTGACTATGGATCATCGTTCCTCCTGTGGCAGATTTTTACAGTTCCTCTAATGCATTTGGGACGACTGTCTCAAAGTAACCTGCAGCTTTCCTGACAACTCCTCGCTCTCTCTCCTGCTAAGAACTGTAGCCTGTTGAATAATACAGGATAAAAAAATTATTACACTCAGTGAACAGTTTCACATATGCTTTATCATCATGATAAAAATTTAAAAAATACCTACCCTTTTCTGCTGAGTTTTTAGAACCTTCTGCTACCATATCCACCACTTCCACCACCAGATCCATAACCACCTAGAAATATACATATATAGTTTTAAAAGAAATATGAGTTTGTAAATTAACAAGGCTACACAAAATGTTGATGAAAAAAAGTATTTACCACCATAGGGGCTGCCCGAGCTTCTTCCACCAAAACTGCCCCCCTTCATGGGTCCATAATTTGATTGCTGTTGTCCACTGTAATTTCCAAAATCATTATAGTTCCCACCACCACCATAGTTACCTGAAATTACAAAGGTTTTATTTGTGGTTGACTTATACAATAATTATTTCTTCTAATATATGTACCAAATTCGCCTCTACTACAAACTGAGGCCCACTAACAGACCTCAAACATGGGTAAGAAAATAAAAGTGGAAGATGGTCCCAAGAGCATGTATCTAGATAGCTGTCATACTTTGTTTATATTTGATGCTACACTCTAGCCCATTCTCTTTCATACCAACACCCTCAAAATTATCAGTTTTATTCACTCTAATTCTGATGCTGTACACCTCTTAAATCCATTGCAAAAGATATTCTAAATTATTAAGTAGTAAGAAAAACCTGTTGTTGACATTAACAGTCCAAAACCCAGTGGATTCATAACAAAGCTCTTTAGAGTGTCACAGAGTAATAATGCAGCCTTGCTTATAGTCTGCAATATATCTGACACATTCAGATTCAAAATGCTTTCATCAGACCCCAGGTAACACCCGATTCCTTTTAACAATTTCCTATTCTCATCTGTCCAGTTTAAAAGTGCTTAGAGTAAGTAAAGTGCTGGCAATACACTACTGATAAATGCCCATTTCAAGTACAAAATAAAGAGTTAAATACATTTACCAATTTACTAACAAGCACAGTTCAATTACTCATCAACTGAGTAATCTCTAATTTTACACAACATGAAATTTGACCAAATGCTACATTTTAAGATGTTTAAACATCTGTAATGGAACTATAAACAATAATGAATATTTAAAACAAGTGAAAACTTACCTCCAAAATTTCCCCCTTCATTGTAACCATCATATCCACCACCACCATATCCACCTCCTTGGTTTCCGTATCCTGGTCCTCCACCACCACCACCATAACCTCCTCTACTACTATAACCAGGACCACCGCCATAGTTACCACCTAAAAAAAATTGAATCATACAAAAACAAATGTAGAGGATCAAGTTATTGAAACTCTAGTTTATATTACATTTAAGTCAACGGAAAATAAGCCAATTGATTTAGGACTAAAGCCGGGTTAACAGAACCAAGAATCTAGCTAGTAAGAATTTAAGATAAATGTTTAAATATAGTTTAATATTTAAAAAACTTTTTCTTGCCCTGGCCAGTTTGGCTCAGCGGTTAGAGCGTCGGCCTGCGGTCCAGAGAGACCCGGGTTCGGTTCCCGCTAAGGGCACGTACTTCGGTTGCAGTTTGTCCCCGGCCCTGGTTGGTCGTGCGGGTGGCAGCTACTCGATGTGTCCCTTTCACATCGATGTTTCTCTCTCTCTCTCCTTCCTCTCTCTCCCTCCCACTCTATCTGTACAAAAAAATGGAAAAATATCCTCGGGTGAGGATAAAAAAAAAAAAAAAAAAAAAAAAAAACAAAAAACTTTTTCTTTAAATTTCACTAAGAAAAATAGTGAAGTCTTCTGAGATATAGTGCCAGCTCAACTAATTAGGCACAATAAACCTAATTAGTCAAAAATAATTCGCTAAAGTTAAAGCTGGGGGGGAGGATTGATAAGTCTTCCATATTAGTTTAGAAGCATACTTTAGCCATCAAACCATTCAAGTATCGAATGAAATTAGGAAAAACAAAAAGAAAGCCATAACTTTCTAACAAGCACAGGAACAAAGTCAAAATACCAATTAAAAAAAAACAACTTACCATCACCTCCAAATCCATTATATCCACCATCACCTCCTCCATAACTACCTCTGCTGCCACCTCCACCACCATAGCCTCCTGAAGAAAAGAAAAGTACGCGTTAAAAGTGTTAAAATTCAACCTACCAATAAATTTTAGGTAGACATGTACTTAGAAATAAGATAACCATCCTACCTCTTCCACCAAAGTTTCCACCACGGCCAAAGTTACCTCCACCACCTCCAAAGTTTCCTCCACGACCCATAAAATTGCCAGATCCACCTCCACGGCCTTTAACACAGGCAAGTAAGATCTCTTAAGAACCTTACAAACACCACTTGCATGTACTGTTTAAGTATATATGGCATTACTCACCTCTTTGCGATCCAGCAGACTGCATTTCTTGTTTAGAAAGGGCCTTTTTCACTTCACAATTATGCCCATTAATAGTGTGGTATTTCTGAACTAAATTTTTTTTTAAATCAAACAAACAAAAATTATTTGATGTTTGAAAAAGCACACATAAATGATATCCTTTAGCACTACATTAACATTAAAATATCAAGAAGATAGTGACTTCTGAGTGGGGGTAAGGGCATGCTCTGGGATGTTACCGTTTATTTCTTGATCCGGATGCTGGTTACACAAGTGTAGTCACTTTATGACACCTGAACCATACGCTTTATATGCCATTATGCACAATATAATAGGTAATTCAGAAAATTAAGTGTAGAACAAAAATGCCATTTCTGCTTTCTTATTCAAGTTGCTACTTACCAACAATTTTATCAACTGTATCATGATCATCAAAAGTTACAAAAGCAAATCCTCTTTTTTTCCCACTCTGCCTGTCTTCCATAACTTCTATGGTTTCAATCTTGCCATACTTTTCAAAGTAGTCTCTCAAATTATATTCTTCTGTGTCTTCTTTAATACCACCAACAAAAATTTTCTTCACTGTTAGATGGGCACCAGGCTTTACAGAATCCTACAAGTATAAAATTTGTAAGTCAAAACCACAAATTTTTACAACAACTTCACATGTTACACAACACGGCATTAAAATACCTCTCTAGAAACAGCTCTCTTTGGTTCCACTACACGCCCATCAACCTTGTGTGGTCGAGCACACATTGCTGCATCCACCTCTTCAACACAAGAGTAAGTCACAAAACCAAAGCCCCGGGAACGTTTTGTTTGGGGGTCTCTCATCACCTACAAAATAAAAGTTTTAAATCATTGAAACACACCTATACAAGTCCTCTACCCCTTTCTAAGAACCTTTATTTTGTTCCTTTAGTAACTTACCACACAATCTGTGAGCGTGCCCCATTTCTCAAAATGTTCTCTTAAACTATCATCTGTAGTTTCAAAGCTCAGACCACCAATAAACAGTTTTCTCAACTGCTCTGGCTCCTTTGGATCATGGCCCTGAGAAAACAAACCAATATATTTTAATGATTTCTTTTAGTAGTGAATTGCTAAGATGTACAAGCCTTTACTCTGCCGCAAATAAACTCAGTTATCAAATTCTGTATACCATTAATACTTTATCCAGTTAAAAATTGGAGTAGGATCATACAAACCACATCAATTTAATAAAGGAACCAAAATACCAAGAAAACCTATAAACAGCCTTTCAAATGCCAATATCACTTCAACCGAATTTTAGTCTAAGGGACTCCCAGAATCAAAAGTCCCCTAATTTTAAGCTACAAAAGAGCCTGGGAATAGTTTATTTTAGATGTTGCTACTAAGAAACCATTGTCTAATATACAAAAGTGTTGTAGAAGCAGTGTTTCATCTATGCCATTTCTTTTCATGTCAAGCTTTTAATTTTAAACCACAAAGCTGTGAGGTATAACTTAAAAATCTTGAGTGGAAAATTTAAAGAAATTCACCATTATGTAAAGAAATGTAAAAATCTTGCATACATCCCCTCCTTAACTCCAAATGTATAAAAGAAACTGCAATAACTGTCATTATCTGGAACATTTAAGATCTTCCTTCCTGACATTGTCATCAGTTTGGCTCAAATAAATTCTTAAAAAAATTATCTTAAAAAACAGAAAGAGATATTCACCAGCTACAAACAAGTCAAGATTAGTTTAAAACAGGTATTCCTTGATAAAAGGCTAATTCACCCCCCCCCCCCCGCAAAAAAGAACTAAAAAAATCCACCACGTTGACAGCTTTCTGTAACCAATTTGTTATAGTTATGTGCTGAAAAAATTACCTACGGGCACTTGTATCACATGGCCGAATTTTCAAATATACCTTGTAGGGTCAAAAAAAAAGCAAGCTAGATTTAAGTATAAAATTTACTGCTTGGAATGAGTTTTTTTTTTTTTTTTTTAAAGATGTGAACTGAACTTTTTTACAATTTAACCAGCCCTTTAATAAATTATAGGAATTGCCATTTAATCCATGCATTAAGGTATCACTCATTTGAAGTCCTTAAATAAAGAGGCACACATTTACATTCTAATATCTTCCTGAGTCTTCTAAAGGTACAGTTATTAAGGCATTTTACATAAAGAGATTCTCTACATACTAGAAAAAAGTCAGACGATTAATAGCTTAAAGCATTAATTCACTCATCTTTTCAAGTCCTGGTTAAATGCATTTAATTAGCAACACCAAACTGACCAAAGACACAAACACACACACCAACTATACCCTACATAAAATTATCCCAAGCACATGAAAAATTCGACTGTGGTTACAATCCTCTGAAACAAAAATCCGAAAACTATAATCAAGGCCATGGGGAAAAAGTAGAAAAAAAAATGTTAAGTTCCTATTTTATAATGGCGCGAAGACATGTATAATTCTAAGTACTTTAGCAAGAATAGATCAGGAAGTATTAGCAGGCAGCAAACTTTCTAAAAACGTACTTGCAAGCGAACGCTGCGAAGAAAACAAGACAATTAAAATCTCGTAGCCTTAAAAAGGTCTGCAAGGCCTAGAAATTCGCCAGCAAAACTTCAGGAGAAGCACTGCGCCCCACGCTTCGAGGCCATTTGCGGCATTTTCTGCCGGGCCGCCTCCTCTCTCTTCTTCCAATCCCGCGCTCTCTTTCTCGGTGGCGGAATTAGGCGGCGGCCATTGCGGGCCAATGCGCCATTTCGTAACGCGGCAGCGGATCAATGTCAATGTGGCCGCCGCCCGCCTGCTCGCTCTCCCGGATGTGCCTGCTCGTCCCCTCCCCACCCCTCCCCCACCGCCTCCTCCCAACCGCTCCTGCCTAGGCCCGCCATGCCTCCTTCGGCCTTAAATCCGAGGCCGCTCGGCCGGCTCCCTTTCCGAGGTCTACCCAGCCACGCCGCGCTTCCCAAGAGCCACCTGTGCAGCCGAAGAAGAAAGCGAGGCGGGCGAGAGGCCCCCGAGGAGGCCTCCGAGGCCTGCTCCCCTCCCCCTCCCACCGCCCGTCTCAACGCAGAGCGCGGGACCACCGAGCCATCCACCCGGCCTCCCCGCTCCCACCGAGCCAGGCCCCCCATGCCGGCCACTACCCAGCAACCCCCCACTCTCCCCCTAATACCTCCTCCCCCCGGCGGCGACGGCGACGGCCGGAGTCGGGCTGGGGGCGACCGGGCGGCGGTTTTACCTCCATTTTGAGACCGGACTCGCCTCTTCCAACTCGAGTTCAATATGGGACCGAGAGGAAGAGGCGGGGCTAGTCGTCACGTGACGCGCTTTCCGCGCGCCGCCGGCCTGGTGGAGGAGGGGCGAGTTGCGAAAGGGGCGTGGCCAACTGGGCGCGAAGAGGGACTGGGCGAGCGGGTTGGCGAGCAGAGAGAGGGGGCGTGGCAGGCCGCGGGAGCGCGCGCGCCTCACCAACTTCCAGTGCGGCGCCGCCCTTGCCGCGGTTCGCGCCAGGGCGGCTGCGGGGACGTGTGCTGGTGCTCGGCCAATGGCGTGCGCACACGTCGGGAGAACGCCGCGTGACCGAGCGTCACCGGAGAAAAAGGCCTTTCCCTTTCTTCTCGCGCTTCTTTCCCCTCCCCCATGGAGGCCTCTCAGGTCTCAGATTCCGAACTCATTCCACTTCCTGTGTCCGCAGAAACTCACACTGTTTTCTCCTGTACTTGAAGGTCGCAAGAAAGACCTCTGGGGCGCTCGGGCTTTCCTCTCCTGTTTCCAAACGCAAGGGACCAGTTCCCGTGACTGCGACGCCCACTGAGGGCCCGTACTGAAAGCCCTTGACATACCTGAGTCATGGCCACTGTGGGAAGGCCTCAGAACGCGGTTCACACACTGAAACTTAGCCGCAACGAGCTGGCAGGACGGCTCGAGGTCAGTCCCTGTACTCGCGGTCTCAGATCTGTCGGCACTCTTTTAACACCGTGGACAGAGCTGAAGCAACTTCTCAGGGATGGACTTTAGGGAAATGGATGATTTACAGGACTAAACGTAGGGTCGCCAGGTACACTACCCAATGGCTAGTGATTTTTACCTTAACGGCTCTAATTGTGTTGGGATGCATAATTCAAGAGTTAAAAACTGGAGATGCAGTCCTTTCCCGGCCACGCTAAGTGATTTTAAATCATTTCACCTTACTGAACTTCAGTATTAGTATTTTTGTAATGAAAATAGGAATGAGATGTGGTCATCCCCAACATCCAGAACAGCCGTCAATTAATCTGAGGATCCATGCTTAAATTTAATCTACAGATACTGGTGAAAGTGACCACAATTGACAAGTCCCCCTACTCTGCCAAGAATGCCCTGTATTTTCATGTAGCGGTCCACGCAAAGCTCCTTTAAAATTGATCACGCCTTCCCTTGGAAAGATTAGAAACTTAATTATATTGTGAATTGTTTTTTTGTTTTTTTTAAAAAAAAAATAGTTTGTGTTAACAAATGGGGAATGGTATGCTTGGAGCTTGGGAAAAGGGAGCACAAAAAATAAGAATTTGTTAATGTTTATCTAGCATTGCCCAAGCGGAACAGGTGTTTTATTTGGCAGACAGGAATAAAAGGTACTTTGTTCCAGGGCAGAAACCAGTCACCGGTCCTTAAGGTAACTTGGATGAAATAACTCTCCAAACTAGCCTCCTGCGTTGCTCTGATTCCAGTATCACAGGCAGGTACCCTGCTTTTCAGGCACCCCTGATGCCCAACAACAGTACTTGAGACTGTTGGGGGAAATGTATATATACCCTTAGGGTCTGGTTAACATATCAAGGCTTCTTGAGTTTACTATGATCACCCATGGATAACTTGATTTCGGATTCAATTCTGAGTACCTAGAAAAACGAAAAGTTAAAGACCTTAGGAATATGGTATTCACACTAAAGTACCTGGTGAGAAACTGCAAGGGTGATCATGGAAATTGATCACTTGGTTTCTTTATGGCTTGTTCTCTAGGTGTTTTCTAACCAATTATTTTTTTTTTTCTGATCTATTATTTTAAATCAACTGTTTGTGTTAGTAGTCTTTCTTCTTTTAATTATATCAAATTCTTATATTAGTTTGAGAAATGATGGAAGATGGGATATTAAATACTTCCATCCAGGAATATGGTATGTCAGTTCATTTACATCTTCAGTAAAATGTGGATTCTTCCCTTTGGATTCATCCAGCTTTGTTGTTCATCCAGACTCTGTGGTTTTCAGACATTTTCTATTTTTTATGCTTTTGTCTAAGTTTATCCCCAACTCTGTGACCACATGGTAGCTCATATATATATCCCTGCTTGACCCTGTTGGACACAAACTTGATCCTTGGCTGCTGTCTATCCTTGTAGCTCTGGCTCTTTTGAAAGTGCCTGGTGAGGGGGTAGGGGGTAGGGAGGGTGGGGGCAGGGGACAAGAGTCCTAAAGTGGGATGGAGTGGCAGACAGATTTTATAAATAATCTATATTAGGGCCTCTCCACTTCTTTCATATCACAACACATACAGAAAATGATCTTTTTTTTTTTCTCTTTATTGATATTAGAGAGGAAGGGAAAGGGAGAGAGAAATAGAAACATTAATGAGAAAGAACATCGATTGGCTGCTTCCTGTATGTCCCCCACTGGGGATCAGGCCCACAACCCAGGCATGTGCCCTGACAGGGAATCAAACTGGTGACCTCTTGGAGCATGGATCTACGCTCAACCACTGAGTCACACCAACCGGGCAGAAAATGATAATTTTTGTATAGCACACAAAGTTGCATAAATGAAAAGATTTGGAGACATCTAAAAAAATTCATAATATTTTCTTTAAATTATATAACTATGCTAAAATACAATGTATTTTAAAAATAAAACACAATATATTAGAGAAGATACTAAAATTGAATTTGAATAAAACATTCAAATAAAAATTTTCCACAATTTTTAAATGATCATTTTGAACTTGTTCCTCTGAATATATTTTGATATTAAGTTTTATGGTTGAAATGGCTTTATGCAGTTTCTGATCTTGACTTTTTAATGATAAACTCCTCATATTCTGAATAGTAATTGTCAGTAAGGGACTCTGATCACATAAGTGGGTGATAAAATATTAAAACCATTTTATACCATCATTCAAAATTTACAATTGTAATTGTATTTAAAGAATTACAATTCCTCTTTTTCTTTTATTAACAAATGTAATATTGTAATTTCATATGATCCTGCAAATGGATTTCAAAGTAATAGTACATTTTTATATCAAGATTTTCACAATGAAAGTCTAGCTTTGAGAACATACATGCATTGTCAACAGCTAGTCTAAGGGCCATTAAAAGAGTGCATCAAAGCCCTAGCCAGTTTGGCTCAGCAGTTAGAGCATCAGCCTGCGGGCCAAAGAGTCCTGGGTCCAATTTCAGCCAAGGGCACGTACCTTAGTTGCAGTTCATCCCCGCCCCCCGGTTGGGGCCCTGCGGGTGGCAACCAATTGATATTGATGTGTCTCCCTCACATGAATGTTTCTCTCTTTCTTTCTCCCTCCCACTCTCCAAAGATAAAATGTAAATTTTTTTTAAAAAAAAGCAAGCCCTGGCCGGTTTTCTCAGTGGTTAGAGCGCCGGCCCGCGGTCCAGAGAAACCAGGGTTCAGTTCCCGCTAAGGGCACATACCTCGGTTGTAGTTTGTCCCAGGCCCTGGCTGAGTCGTGCTGGTGGCAACCACTCAATATGTCCCTTTCATGTCGATGTTTCTCTCTCTTTCTCTCCCTCCCACTTTATTTGAACAAAAAAATGGAAGAAAAATAAAAAATTAAAAAGAGTGAATCCCCACAGAGGAATAGAAATGGCCATAGCCCTGGCCAAGTATCTCAGTTGAAGTGTTGTACTCATGGGTTGCAGGTTGGATCCTGGTCAGGGCACATACAGGAGTCAGCCAACGATGCATAAGTAAGTGGAACAACAAACTGATTTCTCTCTCTCTGCCCCCCTTCCAATCTTTCTAAAAAAGAAAGAAATAGGAATAGCCACTATATGTTAAGACAAATATTAAAGGCATTGCCTGCAGCTGAGCCCCACCAGGAACCCCAGTCAGTCCAGGCTCCTCTCTCAGCCCCTGATAAATTACTGCTGGAGCTGTGTGCTGTCACCCTTGGGCCCCTGGAACACAAACTTGTGTATTGGCTCCAGAATGTCTGGTCCATGATGAGCTTTGCAGATAGTTGCCCATGTGGCAGGCATCCTTGGCCATGGACAGACAGCAGAATTTCAAGTGTTGGTCGTTGTTTACAGTGCTTGGCATACATCCCAGACTACTCTGCACATGCTGCCCTGAGGAGCCCTAAATAAGACTGCTCATGACCAAAGGTACTGGCCCAGGGGCTGTGACTGCCCTGACCCCTCTCAATTGCCTCATTCTTGAGGGGTCAGTTTCTGACTCATATTCAGGACACCAGCATGCCATAGTCCACTAGTTAGAAAGTACTGTCTGGATTGTGCGATTCATTTTATGAATGAGGAAGCTGTAATGAAGATCAAGGAATTGATTTTTTTCTAAGGTTAATAGCAAATTAGGGCAGATTCAGAACTAAAAGAAAGAGAATAGAAATTGAATGAAAATATTTTGGACAGGAAGACAGTAATTTTTAGAAGGGAAAAATTGTATAGACTATATAAACATTGTCATCTGTCAACTGTATTCAGAATATGCCAATAGCTTTATTTTTCTAAAATCTTGGTTTTTATTTTATTTATTTATTTATTTTTGGTTCGTGCCCCTAGCGGGAACTGAACCTGGGACTCTGGTCCGCAGGGCCAACGCTCCAACCGCTGATCCAAACTGGCCAGGGCTAAAATCTTGGTTGTTAAATAAGTAGTATATAAAGTAAAACACAAAATAAAACAAAACAAAAATCTCTTCTCTCAAGTCCTATTACACAGTCAACAACTTAGTATATATTCTTTTCACATCTTCTTCTAGGCCTAATAAATGTTTTAAGTATGTATAAATGTATATATTTAGCCATACTGGCTTCATTTACACAAATATATATCAAACTATTTTTTTCCTTTTTACCTTCATTTAACATACAAGTCATTTATTGAACTCTTACTATGTGTTTGGCAATGCTAGGTGCTGGAAATTATCACTCAAATTATTAAACACTTAACATCTTGTACCATTCTGAGCACCTTATGTTCCTGATCTCATTTAATTCCCCTAATTTAGGAGTATGTCCTGTTATTCTCATTTTAAAAATGATGTTAAAAAGAAAAGCCACAGGCCCAATATGGTGTCACTTGT